GCATTATTCCCGGTATCTTAATGGGGTTTAATGGCCAATGGCCTACTTTTTTTCACTTGTGGGACTAATGAAGACGGGCATACACTAAGAAGTGTGCTAAAAGGCAGCCTACTCTCTCTCTCTTTCTCTCCCCCCATCCCTCTCTTCCCCCAACATATTTCATGCATGTAAATACATTTTTAAAAAACACAGTTGAATATCCACTTTAAATTTTTTTAAAAAGTGTGCTATAAAGCGGCCTACTCTCTCTCTCTCTCTCTCTCTCTCTTTCTCTCTTTCTCTCTCTTCCCCCAAAACATTTCATGCATATGTAAATATATTTTTAAAAAAACATTTCAATATCCACTTTAAATTTGACAGTGCTATAAAGTAGTCTACTCTCTTTCTCTCCATCCCTCTCTTCCCCCAACACATTTCATGCATATGTAAATATATTTTTAAAAAACACTGTTGAATATCTACTTTATTTTTTAAAAATGAAGGGAATATTCCTTTAATCAATAAACGTAATGTAACGTTATTGATCATTAATAAGTAGTATACAGTTTGTCTGTCCGAACAGAAAATGTTCGTGGAAAATATCATTACATGGACCCACCTGTTGGTTTAATGGTAGCGAGACCGAATCAATTTCACTCTTGCTCTTTCATCCCTTTATCTTTTCTCTTTGTTAATTGGTCTGATGTCTGTCAAATTTTATCTAACAGAGAGAGAGAGAGAGAGAGAGAGAGAGAGAGAGTTATGCATGTAATAGAACCCTTGTATGCATGTAATAGAACCCTTGACATTTGGTAGATAAGGCGAAAATCCTCCAATCAAATCAAATTTTCCCTCATAATAGCACACTGCATGTTCTATGCCTGTCTTTATTAACCCCATTGGTGCAAAAAATTAGAACTTGGAATTAAACCTGCTTTCATTTCATTCCAACTTGATGTTGTTGAATTACAAATAATGACAGAAATGTAAGAGCTCTAAAAAAGAAAAAAAAACCCAAGAAGAACTGGTGAATTCATCATCATGTATGATTAATGATCAAATGTAAAACTCGGTCTGTTTAATCTCATTAAATTTATTTATGTACATAGAGGTTACCATAACCTGACTGGTGTTTTTTTTTTGATTAAAGACAAGAGAGAGAGAGAGAGAGAGACAGAGAGAGAGACAGACAGACAGACAGAGAGACAGAGACAGAAAGTTGTGGGGGTTAATATTCACTGGACAGAAAATAGTCATTTCTGCACTAGCATGTCACTTACAGAGAGAGAGAGAGAGAGAGGGGTTGGGGTTAATATACACTGGTCACAAAATATGTCATTTCTGAACTAACATGTCACTTACAGTGATGGTATGTGTCTGTCCTATACACAGCCCCATATGGCACTTAGGCTAGCAGTCCTTCTGTAACTTTAAAGAGAGGGAGAGAGAGAGAAATGGGATTTAATGTCCACTCAACACAAACTAGGTCATTGTGGGACTAACAGATGATTCAATTTTATTTCAATAATTCGCTTGCACCTAGGGTTTTTAGTAGTGGAAGGAAACCAGAGGACCTGGAGAAAACCCCCGAAATTGGACAGGCGACCCTACTCCTTGTCACATACAACCAGGGAATCGAAACCACGCCAGACAGACCTTATGATACAGCACATGCGTGCAAACCATTCAGCCATCCAACCCCCTTTAACTTCAGAGATGAATCATATACCGAGTTTAGCATACTCTATTCATTGATTCCAGGGCCACAAACTGTTATTCTAACGATTAATTCTCAAATGGCCATGATGACCTAACACATTAATTGATAACTCAATATATCTCTTTCTATTTAAAGCCAATAATTTTTGTCTGACTTCCGTATCAACGAGAATTACCCTCGTTTCTGGACCAATCAGCGGCTAATTCATTGGAAAAATCAGACAGAAAAAAATGTGACCTGAAGAAATGGCAACATAAAATATCTCATTTTCATCTTTTATATTGCAAATCTGAAATATACTGGATATATATTTTAAAAAAATCAAAATTGGAAAATTTAGATATAAATAAAGCAGTGGTTATGAACCGTAGTTGTATGATCGATTCTACCCAAAATAAAGCAATGGTTATAGACTATAGTTGAATGATGGATCGATGCCACCCAAAATGAAGCAAAGGTTAAAGCCTGTAGTTGTATGATGGATCAATGCCACCCAAAATAAAGCAGTGGTTATATAGACTAGTTGTATGAGGGATCGATTCCACCCAAAATAAAGCAATGGTTATAGACTGTAGTTGTGTGATGGATTGACTCCACCCCTCCACCCAAAATAAAGCAGGGTTTATAGACTAGTTGTATTATGGATCAATGTCACCCAAAATAAAGCAAAGGTTATAGACTGTAGATGTATGATCGATTCCACACAAAATGAAGCAATGGTTATAGACTATAGTTGAGGGATCGATTCCACCCAAAATGAAACAATAGTAAAGCCTGTAGTTGTATGATGGATTGACTCCACCCAAAATAAAGCAGTGTTTTGATAGACTAGTTGTATGATGGATCGATGCCACGCAAAATAAAGCAATGGTTATAGACTGTAGTTGTAAGATGGATCGATTCCACCCCCAAACCCAAATTGATAGTGTGCGTAAGAGATCACTTGGCAGTTAATAACATTGCCTCATATTTCATATATAACCATATAAATTACCATTTGTTAGTTTCAAAATAACCTACAGTAGGACTTTAAACCCCATTTCATTATATTTCTCAAAATAACCAAAGTCTATTGTTGACAAGAAACCCAGTTCTTTTGCTTTCTTGGCACTCAGTTACTTCTGATCAAATATTAACTGTTAACTGTAAAATGTGTCAAAAACAATTTAAAAGATGAAGTTGTATTGAGGTCCTTCAGTTAGTGTGATGACTCTATTTTTACAACAATGCCTTCATGTAATGAAGACCTCTTAGTTTTAGAATCGTTCCAGTTGTTTCATTATTTCTTTTCCCCTCTGGGAATCTGTAATTGAATTTTGTTTTTGAAAAGCTTTTATGACCAGGATTTGTTGCTTTTAAGAAATTAAAAGAAAAGACTAGACTGTAGAAAGAATTGAAAATATTGACTACTAAATTCGACTGCTGCCATTTTTTATATTCTTGGTTCAGTGTGACAAGGACAGCTGTCTAGTCGATCAGATGAGACAAAAAACCGAGGTCCCGTTTACACATTGACGTGCACGTAAAAGATCCCTTGGCAGTTGGAATTCGATATAAGAGTAGGCCGTAGCGCCGCTGCCCGGGCAAAATTTCCCTCGTAGCACACTGTATGGCAATAGCCCAGTTTAGAAGCAGAACAGTTAAACCCCATTTCATTTCATTTGGCTCAGTGATTAACACGCTGGTTCATTAACTAGGATGTCCTGGGTTCGATTCTGTTGTTTGGCAAGAAAGGTCCTCATAAGTTTCTCCAAGTCTGATTTCCCCTTTATCGGAGGACTTGAATATCGATAGGAATTCGGATGGGGAAAAGGGATCCCAAGATACATTGGCGTGCACATGTAAGAACCTTTGGGAGTTGGAATTTGTCCTGGGATTTTCTTCATAGCAGTTAGCAGAATGCATGGCGTGTGATGCCAGTCTTCATTAGCCCGTTTGGTACAGAAGCATAAGACCTGATACTAGGTTTCCATTGTCTTGCGATGCTTTACGATAGGATTGTCCCTATTTAGTCCACGATCTGGTATGTGCAGATACGTTGGTATACGTTTCGATACAATCAACACGATGGTGATAAGATCTGATAGGATCACCACGATTACTTCACGATTAAAACCACAATTTCAATCGTAGCGAGGGGGGTTGGATGGTCGAATGGTTATCATAAGGCCTGTCATTGAGTCAACTACCGCGGTTTCGAATCCCCGGTTGTACGTGATAAGGAGTAGGGTCGCCTGTCCAACCTCGTGAGTTTTCTCCGGGTCCTCTGGTTTCCTTCCACTGCTAAAGACCCCTACGCGCAAGCGAATTATTGAAATAAAATTAAACCATATGTTAGTCCCGAAATGACCTAGTTTGTGTTGAGTGGATGTTAAACCCCATTTCTCTCTCTCTCTCTCTCTCTCTCTCTCTCTCTCTCAATCGTAGCGCAAATCGTGATAGTGGAACCTAGCATTAAACCCTATTTCATTTCATATCTCCATTGCTGGGGGGGGGGGGGGTTGGATGGCTGAATGGTTAGCGTGTGCGCGCTGTATCATACAGTCTGTCATTGAGTCGACTGGCGTGGTTTCGAATCCCCGGTTGTACGTGACAAGGAGTAGCGTCGCCTGTCCAACCTCGTGAGTTTTCTCCGGGTCCTCTGGTTTCCTTCCACTGCTAAAGACCCCTACGCGCAAGCGAATTATTGAAATAAAATTAAACCATATGTTAGTCCCGAAATGACCTAGTTTGTGTTGAGTGGATGTTAAACCCCATCTCTCTCTCTCTCTCTCTCTCTCTCTCAATCGTAGCGCAAATCGTGATAGTGGAACCTAGCATTAAACCCTATTTCATTTCATATCTCCATTGCTGGGGGGGGGGTTGGATGGCTGAATGGTTAGCGTGTGCGCGCTGTATCATACAGTCTGTCATTGAGTCGACTGGCGTGGTTTCGAATCCCCGGTTGTACGTGACAAGGAGTAGGGTCGCCTGTCCAACCTCGTGGGTTTTCTCCGGGTCCTCCGGTTTCCTCTCATTGCTAAAGACCCCTACGCGCAAGCGAATTATGTAAATAAAATTAAACCATATGTTAGTCCTGAAATGACCTAGTTTGTGTTGAGTGGATGTTAAACCCTATTTCATTTCAGATCTCCATTGCTGGGGTTTTATAACATTTTATGTAGAAAATTGGCTCAGATGAATTAGATAAAGATAATTAAATTTTTTCAAAGGATGATATGCATGCATTTTAGATTTATAGGTATTTATCATCCGCCTATGTGATTTTAGTCTTATTTTTTCAATTTTTTATATTTTTCAGAATGGAAAGGATATTAACCCAGTTAATCTGGGACCCAGTGAGAAAACAAGGTCAGTAGAAAAAATGATAAAGTGAAATATAATTACTTCCAAACAATAAAATGTAGCTGCCCGGGCAAAATTCTACTCTCTTGTCATAAGGTCTGTCATTGAGTCAACTGACGTGGTTTGGATTTTCCGGGTGTACATGACAAGAAGTAGGGTCGCCTGTCTTACATCATGGGTTTTCTTCGGGTCCTCCGGTTTCCTCCCACTGCTAAAGACCCCTACGGTCAAGCGAATTATTGAAATAAAATTGAACCGTATGTTAGTCCCAAAATAACCTAGTTTGTGTCGAGTGGACATTTAACCCCATTTCGTCAACTGCCGTGGTTTCGATTCCCCGGTTGAACGTGACAAGAAGTAGGGTCGCCTGTCTTACATCATGGGTTTTCTTCGGGTCCTCAGGTTTCCTCTCACTGCTAAAGATCCCTACGGTCAAGCGAATTATTGAAATAAAATTGAACCATATGTCAGTCCCAAAATGACCTAGTTTGTGTCGAGTGGACATTTAATCCTCTCTCTCTCTCTCTCCCCCTCTCCCCCCCCCCCACTTCTCATCTGATTACCCCTGGGAAGAACTAGAATTCAGTAAATAAAAATTTATATTTATTTCTGATAATTACTTCATGTTGTTGTTTTTATTGTCTTGTATATGCTTCCATTACCTAGATTTCAAAAGAATAAACATGTGACAACCTTTGTGGACTGCTTGGACAACTTTGCTACTGTGGGTGTACTTTGTGCTGCCTGGCAACCTATCTTTACATTTATTCATTTCCTATATTTCTTTACAGTGTACGACCAAGTGATTTTGAATTTCTGAAAGTGATAGGCAAAGGAAGCTTTGGGAAAGTTTTATTGGCAAGACACAGAAAAGAATCAAAAGTTTATGCAGTGAAAGTTTTACAAAAACAAGCGATTATGAAACGAAATGAAGTGAAACATATAATGTCGGAAAGAAACGTTTTATTAAAGAACGTCAAACATCCGTTTCTTGTGGGGTTACATTATTCCTTTCAAACTAAAGATAAATTATATTTTGTGTTGGATTATGTCAATGGAGGAGAGGTTAGTGCTTTTACAATTTGATGTTAAACTAGCTTTGTCTGTGCATGTCTGTCCGTCGCACTTTTTAGGACCATAAATCTCCTTCTAATTGAGCTTCGATCCCTGCATTGGCAGAGAAAGTTCATCAGGATTTTCCAGCATAGTTTTCCCTTGTCAGTGGTGCAGAACGGAGGGTCTGACAAGGACAGCTGTCTAGTCTCTCGGATGGGATAGAAATCCTGAGGACCCATGTATACATTGGCGTTGCTCATAAAAGACCCCTTGGCAGTTGGAATTCGATATAAGAGTAGGCCATAGTGCCCTGCCTGGGCAAAATTTCCCCCATAGCACACTGTATGGCGTATGCCCGTTTTCATTAGCTAAGTAGGTGCAGAGCAGTAGGACGTTAAACCCCATTGAGTTAGAATGTGTAAACTTGTTGTAGGTGTTTGTTAGGTGAATGCCTTGGCAGAGTTCGATGATGAACCATTTCCACTATAGAAAGTAGATGTCTTCGTTTGCTTCCATTTTTTGTCTATTTATAAAGTCACATGACACATGTCATTTCCATAGAAACGAGTTGACACCAGTTGAAGCGAGTTGCAGAAAGTTAAAAACATGGGCAACTGACTGGATCTAACTAGTTGCTATGAGTTGTAAGAGGCGCATTCAGATGAAACCAGTTGTACATTCAGATGAAACCAGTTGTACGGTTGACATAAATGACATAAGCTTGAAAAAAACTAAGAAGTCGTAAATCCATCAAGCTGATATTTATTTATTAATGTTACTTGTAAATGTGATTTAAGAATAACTTGATGATCTTATATATCTTGTTAATACTGATAATAAAAAAACACAATGGTTATACTAAGATTATTGAAAAGTTACGTGAAATAAACCAACAAGTAGTAAATCCATGTTTATTTATTAACATTACTTCTAAATAACATATACTCTTCAAAAAAGTATCTAACGAACATATAAGGATGATACTGTTATTTGATTAAATGGATACAGCACTTGAATAAGTTTATAATCAAAATTAAATTCAGAAAAGTATCAGATATTTTTCGGGGGGAGGGGGGGGGTATTCTCAATTTTGACTAGGTTTTTTTCATCCAATGATTTTACTGTTTTATTTATTTCAGTTATTTTTTCATTTACAACGGGAGCGATATTTTCCAGAACAACGAGCAAAATTTTATGCTGCGGAGATGGCGAGTGCCATCGGATATTTACATTCTCTAAATATTATATACAGGTATGACGAGTTACTTTAATTTTATATTTAAAGATGCATTATGTGAGGGTTTTCTCTGGGTCCTCCGGTTTCCTTCCACTGCTAAAGGACACTATACGCAAGCCTAGTTTGTGTAGAGTGTCAATCAAATGTTATATAAATCATTATTTACACATATATCGACATGACAAGTCCATATTTAACTCTCCTGTACATTGGATGGCTGAGATTTAAATGGATTTGAACACCTGCAAGATTTTTTAATCTAATGATAAAATGTACAATCGAGGCTACATCTTGATTGTCAAGTTCCGTTGCTAGGATAATAAACAATCTATGCTACATCTTTAAACTGTCATAACTTCGCTAAGAATAAAGTAATTCAAATGAATAAACACATGTAAGGGAAATTATCTTAATATATTTGTGACTACCACTATAACCCAGGTATCATTTAATCTTGTGTATCTAGCACTAATTTCTTTCACATTCATTTAATATCAAATATCAAAAATAACCTAAGAGCCAAGCAACTAACTTAATATTTGTCATCCGTTTACAAACAACTTAAACCCGCCAGTCTTCATCTGGAAATGGAGACCGGTGTCCAAACTCTATTATACGGTGTCTGGATAAAACCAGACTTTTATTTTATAAAAATAATGTGTAGGTGAAATTTACCCTTCGCTATGAAGTACAGCACTCGGGTTATTCACTGTATAGACCTCCAAAGAAACGGGAATTGATTATCAGGTCGCCCAACGAAAAAATTGACCCGAAATCTTAAAAGGGCTACGTGTCGGGATAAGCATTTTTGACTTTCATGTCCAAACGACTCAATATTTTGAGCTAAAATTTTGAGACAAGGTAAATTCACCATTTCTCTATATTTGGGCACTTAAATTTCACACGTACTCAGACTTTTATTTTGGAGACTCAGTTCAAATCGGGATAGTCCCTTTAAGCCATGAAAGATTAGATATTGTCATCAAAACTACAAATGGCAAAGACTGGCTTTAATCCACATTCGAGTCAATATTACGTGTTATTCTATCATTAACTAGAGATTTTTCTCCTCTGTAGCAGAGGCCATTCATCAATCTTATGAAATATATATACAGAGAAGTGTAAATGATTCACCGCTAATGTTTAATAATCAATCGGAGTACATTATAGCATGGATTAAGGAGCGAAAAATTTAATGCTTAAACCACATTCCATTACATTCTGCCAGCAGACGCCATCGTTAATCAAACGAACAAATTATAATCAGAAGTGTAAATGTGGTGTTAAAGAATCGACTATCAAAATATTTACGAAATTATCAGGAGAATAATTTCAATTGATTATATGTTGAAACCAGGGGCGGCGCCTTGATTCAGTCATTGGCTAACATAAGGAATGCTTGGCAGACCTATATGTATAACCAAGCATTTCAATATGATGCTTGGTAGACGTATATTTAAATTATCATAAGGAATGCACAACGGATTGTTCATTGCTATTTAGTTGTTAGCCGATTTTATAACAGCAACAACATTAAAATCGACTAACTAAATAGCAATGAACAATTCCAATGTGCATTCATTATGATGATTTAAATATACGTCTACCAAGCATCATATTGAAATGCTTGGTTATATATGTTCAGTTTACATACAGGGGGTTTGGGTGGTCGAATGGGGGGGAGAGAGAGAAATGGGGTTTAACGTCCACTCGACACAAACTAGGTCATTTCGGGACTAACTCATGGTTCAATTTTATTTCAATCATTCGCTTGCGCGTAGGGGTCTTTAGCAGTGAGAGGACCCGGAGAAAACCCACGAGGTTGGACAGGCATCCCTACTCCTTGTCACGTACAACCGGGGAATCGAAACCCCGCCAGTTGACTCAATGACAGACCGTATGATACAGCGTGTGCGTGCTAACCATTCGGCCATCCAAACCCCCTGGTGGCCGAATGGTCTAATGAGTGTTCTTTAGATCTTATGGTCTGTATTTGAGTCAATTGGTGTGGTTTCGATTTCCAGCTTATATACTGGACAAGGAGTAGAGTACCTGTTTAACATTGTGGCGCTTGTAAGTGACAAGGAGTAGGGTCACCTGTCAAACCTTGTCGTTTTTCTACAGGTTCTCCGGGTTCCTCCCACTGCTAAAGACCCCTACATGCAAGCAAATTATTGAAATAAAATTGAACCATATGTTATTCCCCAAATGACCTAGTTTGTGTCGAGTGGACGTTAAACCCCATTTCTCCCTCTATCTCTTTAATCTCTTGGGTTTTCACCTGGTTGACTGGTTTCCTATTGAAATAAAATGGAACTTAGGTTAGTCCTGTGACGCACAGTTGTTAAACTCAATTTCTCTCTCTTTCTATCTTCGAAAATACTTAAGAGAAATTGATGGAGTTCTGGAAAGATATTTATTTATAAGTGCTTTTTTATTCTCAAATAAATGCTTTTTAACTACCGTGATATTGGCGTGCTGGTAATGGTTTTGAAAAGGGAAACGTTTATACAGTCTCGGAAAACAGCTCATTAGTTCATGATTCTTTCTCATGTTTGCAAAACACGTAGGTTATTAACGAATTGTTTATAAAAAACGTAACAACAAGCCAATGTTCCATTAAAACTATCAATACAGTTAGTCTTTCTATTAGCTTGTCAATTACCCTTAATACCTAAGGAGACCCTTAGATCAGATAGCCGTCACTTTTAATCCTGACGTTTGACCTTTATGCCATCACATATCTTTGATCTCGGTATCTCTTGACTTCAGCTTCCAAATGTCAGTCACTAGTAAGTCCCGTATAGAGCACAAGTGATTAATAAATGTTCTGGGGATGTGATTGATCAGAAGAGAGAGAGAGAGAAATGGGGTTTAAAGTCCACTCGACACAAACTAGGTCATTTCGGGACTAACATGTGGTTTATTTTATTTCACTAATTCGCTTGCGCGTAGTGGTCTTTAGCAGTGGGAGGAAACAGGAGGACCCAGAGAAAACCCACGAGGTTGGACAGGCGACCCTACTCCTTGTCACGTACAACCGGGGATTCGAAACCACGCCAGTTGACTCAATGACAGGCTTTATGATAAGCTCGCACGTGCTAACCATTCAGCCATCCACCCACCCCCCGTTGAACAGAAGAATAGCTCGTTTAAAGAAATGAAATGAAATGGGGTTTAACGTCCTACTGTTCCGCTCTGACTGGGCTAATGAAGACGGGCATACACCATACAGTGTACTATGAGGGAAATTTTGCCATGACAGCAGTGCTAAAGAATCCTATGTGCAAGCGAATTATTGAAATAGGATTGAATCACATGTTATTCCCGAAATGACCTAGTTTGTGTTAAGTGGTTGTTAAACCCCATTTTTCTCTTTCTTTTTAACTAATTGGATGTTTGTAACAAATGCCTGGCGTAGGAGTGAATGACCTTTAACAGTTTGATTTGACTTTGGCCTGTAAATTGGTTATAAAATGTTATGGATTTGTGTCAGATTAAACAAGGTGGCTTCTAATTAACTTTTGCCCAGCGGTTGATTAACCAGTTTTGTTTTTTGTCTGTATAAAAAAACATAAACTGAAGTTATTAAGCATGGGCGGATCCATGGGTGGGGGGCAGCTACATGATTTTTTTTTTTGTAAAACAACACTTTAAAACATCACTTTTACGAGAAAAGTGTCGCGGTCATGTGGTTTATCCTTTATCATCAGATGATGGGATGGGATGGGTATTCAAAGCGCGAGATAATGATATATACATATGTGATATCACAATTAATGCTTTTCATCAATGAAATTTTTTTTTTGTAAAACAACGCTTTAAACATCACTTTTACGAGAAAGTGTCGCGGTCGTGTGCTTTATCCTTTATCATCAGATGGTGGGATGGTATGGGTATTCAAAGCACGAGATAATGATATAGACATATGTGATATCACAATTAATGCTTTTCTTCAATGAAATTTTTTTTTTGTAAAACAACGCTTTAAACATCACTTTTACGAGAAAAGTGTCGCGGTCGTGTGCTTTATCCTTTATCATCAGATGGTGGGATGGGATGGGTATTCAAAGCGCGAGATAATGATATATACATATGTGATCTCACAATTAATGCTTTGCATCAATGAAATTGAATCACAATGTGATCCTATTAATTCATGATAAGAATGTGCTGTTGAATTTCTCTCTTTAAAAAGTTTGGTGTGTGCCTACGTAATTTGGAGACGATGATGGCAACATGCATTGTCAACTGTCAAATTTCCTAAACAGGAACCTGGCAAACCCCCTCCTGCAAAAATTCCTGGATCTGCCCCTGTTTAAGAATGGACTTTTGATGTTTTTGTGTAATATTGGTTTATATGCCCGAGTACTACATCTGTTCCAATTAACTTATTATTGCCAATGCCTTTCAAAGAAAGCAGGGACTATTAAAATGGGTTTGTCCTTCTGTCTGTCCTTCACGTTTTGGAGGAGTTATAATGTCCAAAGTTGGTGTGGAGCCACGGTGGCTAGGTGGGTAAGACGTTGACTGGAGGTTGTATGTTCGATCCTGCATTGACCGAGGAAGTTCATCAGGATTTTCCAATGTGGTTTCCCCATGTCAGGAGGGTCTGACAGGAACAGCTGTCTAGTCATTTGGATTGGACAAAAAAACGAGGTCCTGTGTGCACATTGGCGTGCACATAAAAGGTCCCCTGCCCGGGCACAATTTCCCTTATGGCACACTGTATGGCATATGCCCGTCTTCATTAGCCCAGTCGGAGCAAAACAGTAGGACATTAAACCCCATTTCATTTCATTTCAAAGTTGGTTTAGATGTTCATATTAGGTAGATGTTGCCACTGAGTCGAATCATGAGTGTTTTCAGCTTAGTCTAAGCAACTCAGGTTAAGCAAAGTTATAAGCAATTTGATTGGTCCAGATTTTTTTAACACGGTGACTTTGTATAGTGGTTTCTTAAATCATAAATAGAGGCCATATGATAAACAAGATAGAGAGAGAAAAAAAATTGGGTTTAGCATCAACCTATGTCATAGCGGGACTGACATATTGTACATTTTTATTTCTTTACCAGTGGGCAGGGGACCCTACCCCTTGTCACATACAAGTGTGGGATCAGAACCATGCAACTTAACTCAATGACAGACCTTATGAACTAAAGTGCATGTGTTCGACCTTTCGGCCACCTATCCAACCCCTCGACATAAACAAACTCCATTTCCATAGTAACATCTAAACACATACACTAATGGTAAAATTGATCAAAGCAGATCTTAAATTAATTGGAAGAAATACTGTCCACCCTTGTAGTAATATCGGAGATAAATCTTGTGTAAGATAAATTGTTTTATTTGATGGTACGTTAATGAAACAACTCTCAATCTGGACTTAGATTGGACGCTAATGGGCATTAATAATTGAATTTTCTCGAGAGGTAATCTTCGGTGTTTAATTAGAAAATGTGATTCCCGCCTTTTATTCAATCATCGTTACAAGTAGTCCGACATTAATTTCTGACTGATTCGTACTTACGTAATTACTTTTCGACATATTTCATGAAATAATTAGAAATCTTCCAAATAGACAGTGATAGTTAACGACACCTTGAGTATTGGTTAGTCTAGAAAAAATGAAATGAAATGTGGTTTAACTTCCTACTTTTCTGCACCTACAAAGTACCGGATTGATGAAGACCGGGTGGTGAAATGAAATGAAATGTGGTTTAACGTCCTACTGTTCTGCTCCTAGAATAAAATGGGGCATCAGCACTTTAAACAACTGACTCTGGTTTATGTATATGTAAAAGAGGGGGGGGGGACTGAATGGTTAACGCGTGCGCGTTGTATCACAAGGTCTGTCATTGAGTCAACTGGCATGGTTTCGATTCCCTGGTTGTATGTAACAAGGAGTAGGGTTACCTATCCAACTTCGTGGGTTTTCTCCGGATCCTACTGTTTCCTCCTACTGCTAATAAAGACCCCTACGCACAGGCAAATTATTAAAATAAAATTGAACCATATGTTAGTCCCGAAATGACGTAGTTTGTGTCGAGTGGATGTTAAACCTCTCTCTCTCTATCTCTCTCTGTATAATTAACAAAGAGAAAAGATAAAGGGATGAAAGAGCAAGAGTGAAATTGATTCGGTCTCGCTACCATTAAACCAACAGGTGGGTCCATGTAATGATATTTTCCACGAACCTTTCTGTTGGGACAGACAAACCAGACACCACTTATTGATGATCAATAATGTTACATTACATTCATTGATTAAAGGAATATTCCTTTCATTTTCATTCATCTCTCTCTTTCTCACTCTCTCTCTCTCTGTCTCTCTCTGTATAATTAACAAAGAGAAAAGATAAAGGGATGAAAGAGCAAGAGTGAAATTGATTCGGTCTCGCTACCATTAAACCAACGGGTGGATCCATGTGATGATATTTTCCACGAACATTTTCTGTTCGGACAGACAAACTGCATACTGCTTATTAATGATCAATAATGTTACATTATGTTTATTGATTAAAGGAATATTCCCTTTATTTTCATTCATCTCTCTTTCTCTCTCTCTGTATATAAAATGTGTGCCTTGTTTTGTATTTTTAGAGATCTCAAACCCGAGAATATATTATTAGATAGTAAAGGCCATGTTGTTTTAACAGATTTTGGTTTATGTAAAGAAGGTATAGAAGGCATGGGAACAACATCAACATTCTGTGGAACTCCTGAGGTACATCATTGTTTCACCCAACCTGATTAAAACACAGATCCTATTTCGTTTCGTTTTTTATACTTTAAAATTTTGTTTTTACTTGTCTTTACTACACTAGGATGTGGAAGAGTTGTTATATTACCGGCATTCTGGTTGATGTGAGAGATTAGCCAATGAAATGATCTGTTACGGCGAGTTCTTAGCATTTGATGCACAGAACTGTGGGTAATCCACTAGAAACGTCAACGCTGATTAATTAATCAATGTCTCACGTCATTGGGTCAAAAGCCACTCGTACGACCCCTGACACAACCTTCCAGTACAACCAGTCAGATCTTCACGTAGTATAGGCCATCGAAAGTATAAAAAAATGAAACGAAATATAGATCTGTATTTTAAATCAGATTGTGTTTCATCAATTGAATATAAATATTTATAATCAATAAAGCACCTATCATTTCTCATCTTCTCTAGCCAAGGGTTACGAAGGGAAGCGAATTGTAACCTTTGGCTAGTGAAGATGATCATTTCTACGTTAAGTCTGTTTTTATACTGCTGGGATTTTTAAATATCTATTATGTCAACCTTATCCGGTTACATCATCATTTGATCCACCAGCTGCACAGTTGTTCACAATTGTACTGTTGATTCAAGAAGTCGTTAAGGGGGGGTTGAATGGCCGAATGGTTAGCGTGTGCGCGCTGTATTATAAGGTCTGTCATTGAGTCAACAGGCGTAGTTTCGATTCCCCAGCTGTACGTGACATGGAGTAGGGTCACCTATCGAACCTTGTGAGTTTTCTCCGGGTCATCTAGTTTCCTCCTACTGCTTAAGACCCCTACACGCAATCGAATTATTGAAATAAAATTGAACCATATGTTAGTCCCGAAATGATCTAGTGTGTATCAAATGGACGTTAATCCCCATTTCTATCTCTCTCAAGAAGTCCTTAAAAAGAAATTATTTCTTTCCTTCTGCTACTAGTGTCTGATCATCATACCTGACTGTCGGGAATTTTAAGATGGAAAATTAATTATACCTAGGCTAAAGGAACTTGGTTTAATTTCTAAGAATATCTGAAAATGCCAAAATCCTGCAGAAAAATATCTGATAACTACAGGATTGGTATACCAGTTTGGGGTACCCCAGTGATGCTGTTCCAAAAATGTTTTCAGTATCTAGCACCAGAAGTTATACAGTATACATGTATTTGTGTCTTTATGTTCTCAGTATCTAGCACCAGAGGTTTTATGATATATTTGTGTATTTATGTTCTCAGTATCTAGCACCAGAGGTTTTACGGTATATTTGTGTTTTTATGTTTTCAGTATCTAGCTCCAGAAGTTTTACGTAAACAGCCGTATGATAAAACCGTTGATTGGTGGTGTCTGGGTGCCGTACTTTACGAAATGATGTATGGATTGGTATGTTTACATTTTATGCATTTACTTGTATGTTATGAAGGATTGGTTCATTGACTCAGATGTTGCGGTTTCGATTCCTCCGCAGGTACGTGACTAGGAGTAGGGTCGCCTGTCCAACCTTGTGGGTTTTCTCTGGGTCTTCCAGTTTTCTCCCACTTTAAAGAAATAAAAATTGAACCATATGTTAGTACTGAAATGACCTAGTTTGTGTCAGGTGAACATCCCCCCCAACCCCCATTCCCCCCCCCTCTCTCTCTCTCTCCATTTGTTTTCTGACTTTACACTATTTTTGGTATTGATATTAGAAAAACTATCAAGTTTATGTCCCTTGATTATTCTATTTTGATTTCTCTTCTTTTTTTCAGCCTCCATTTTACAGTCGAGATACTGCCGAGATGTATGATAATATTCTCTATAAACCCCTTCGTCTTCGCACAAATGTTTCGGGTGCCGCACGGTCTATACTTGAAGGGGTAAGTTAAATTAGATGCTTATTAGTTAATTAAGCAAAGATTGATCAAGAGTTAAATTAGTTAATTTAAAAAAAAAAAGGTAAATTAGCTAATAAAACAAAGTCAAAAATTAAATTAGTTAATTAAACACAGTCAAAAGTTCATTTAGTTAATGAAACGTTTTAAAAAAAGGTTTATTTAGTTAATTAAACAGTCAAAAAACAAGTTCAATTAGTTAATTGAACAGTCATAAGTTCAATTAGTTAATTAAAAATAGTCAAAAGTTCAGTTCGTTAGTTAATTAATTACACATAGCCAAACTTTCAATTAGTTAATTAAACTTTGTCAAAAGTTCAATTAGTGAAAAATAATTGTATGCTAAGATACAATTGTGTTCCTTATACATCGACATAAGGACTTTAAATTGGTACCATTAGTAAGCCCCGACATATGGTTGGGGAAGAATTGTTTGACAAATTAATAATCCAGTGAACAACGTAATTCTACTTGTTAAGATAGTCCAGAAACCATTTACGCATTTACATTCATGCATTTTAAACTGAGGAGAAACTCAAATTAGGGCTCCTGATTCAGTTCTAATTGTCTTGGGATTGGCCTCGTAAGTGGAATATCCTAGGGCCTCTTTACTTCTAATTCCGACATGTTTTAAATCTGACACTCTTTGCATGCAGACATGTTCAATTAATCTTCCATCTTTATTTTCCAGTTATTACAGAAAGAGAAGGAGAATCGTCTCGGTGCTAAAAGAGATTTCTTAGAAATTCAGGGCCATGATTTTTTCATAGATTTAAATTGGGAGGAACTTGATAAACGGAAGATACAACCTCCTTATAATCCAAATGTGGTGAGTTGATTTGAAAAGTCACAAAATCTGTGTGAATAGATTTATAAGTTAAATATGCATTATGTACGGTTTATATAAAGAGTTTGTCGTTTTTGTTATAATAATTCAAAAATGAATAATGAAAAATGAACATGTTGAAAATTTCATTCAAATTTGTTTATCATAAGAGAAGTTATGACGGTTTGAAGATGTAGCATAGATCATTTGTTATTGTAGCAACGGTGCTGGACAACCAAGACAAATACTCTATTGTCTATTTTATTGTTAAATTTTTAAATCTTGTGGTTGTTCAAATCCATTTAAATCTCAGCCATCCGATGAACTAGCGAGTTAATTATAGACTTGTCATGTCAATAAATGTCTAAATAATAACTTATATAACATTTGAAGCCGAAATAAAGATTTAGCTCTTTCATAATGCATCTTTAACATCCGTATTTTTCGAGGTGATATCCCAAGCATGGCTGAATCAATATCGCAAAAATATCAATCACATCCCTCATGGAAACATGAATTAAGTATGTGGACCGTGTAGCCCCATTAGCTAAATGAAAAGTGGATTTAATGTCCTACTGGGCAAGTGACTAGAAGATGTTCCTTGCCAGGCCCTCCATAATGCAGAACACAGACAATGGGAAACCATACTATCCTGATAAACTTTCTGGGCCCTGGACCAGAATCTTCATTGAGGAACTTTCTGGGATTGATCCTGGGACCTGGACTTTAATCTTTGTTGAGGAACTTTCTGGACCAAACACTGGAATTGATCCCAGGACCTGGATATTCATTGAGGAACTTTCTGGGCCTAACACTGGGATTGATCCTGGTACCTGGATCTTGATCCCCTTGATTGAGAGGATTAAATTCCAGAACATTCTATCAAGTAACACCTCTTTAACATTAGTAATCCTTAAACCTATTTAAATTAGTATATTAACTCAACCTTAACCTTCAATTGAATATATTTATAACCTTATAATGATTTTTATTACAGAGTGGACAACTTGATCTCAAACATTTTGATCCCGAATTTGTTCGTGAACCAGTTCCAGGTAAATTTCTTTTTGTCTTCTGGTTTGAGGGAGGGATTATAAAGAGAGGGATTATAATTATTTATTTTTTTAAACTTGCTAGTGGAATGAAATCAGGAAACCTGACTAGATTCGGGAGACGACGTTGATTCCTTTTCATTTGTGGTGGATGGTGGTCGAGTGATCTAACACAAGGTCTGTCATTGAGTCAAGTTGTGTGGTTAAGATCCCACACTTGCATGTGACGAGGAGTAGGGTTCCCTGCCTAACCTTGTGGGTTTTCTCTGGGTCCTCTTGTTTCTTTTAAAGAACCCTTCATCAAGATTGTCCGGCGTGGTTTCCCCTTGTCAGTGGTGCAGGACTAAGGGCCTGACAAGGACAGCTGTCTAGTTGTTCAGATGGGACAAAAAATGGGGTTCCGTGTACACAATGGCGTAATGGCGTGCACATAAAAGATCACTTGGCAGTTGGCAAAATTTTCCTTATACCACATGTACTGTATGGCCGTCCTCATTAGCCCAGTAGGACGTTAAACCCCATTTCATTTCTTTTCATTTTAAAGAATCCTACTCGCAACTGAATTATTGAAATAAAATTGTATCCATATGTTAGTTCAGAAATGACCTAGTTTGTGTCGAGTGGTAAACCCCATTTCTCTCTTTCTCCCTTTCCATGAGGGGTCCACAAAAACGCTTTTTTACAAATTGTGTTACTATTCTCATTTCAGCTTCTATTGGTAAATATGGAAGCTGTAAGATGGTGAGCGCTAGTGTCGTGGAGGCAGATGGTGTTTTCGAAGGGTTCTCTTATGTTCCTCCAGCAGAAGATGCATTTAGTTAGTTGGATGATCTTCGTATAACAACCCATAATAATAGACAAACAAGAGAAGACAACTTACAGCAACAGTAGATGGTGCCATTATTTAAAATCTGAAATTAAAAAAAAATAATAATAATTTGAATATTTGTTTAGTGCTCAAGAATATTTGAATGGATAGACAAGGAGGACATGTTTGTTTTAATAACAACCTGTTGATTATCAGATTTTAAAATCGTGGAGGAAATTAAACTGGGATTGGTTGCTACATTTAGTCAAATGAAATATGGTTTGAACAATATTTTGTATTCAATATAATTAATTCAAACAATCATACAGGGGTCAGTCTTCAATATACAATAACAAGATTTTGTATATTGCTTAAATTTATAGTTTTTATGTTTGGTTGCGACATTTAGTCAAATGAAATATGGTTTGAACAATATTTTGTAATCGATATAATTAATTCAAAGAATCATACAGGGGGTCAATCTTCAGGATACAACAAAAAGATTGTGTATATCGCTTAAATTTATAGTTTTTTTTATGTTTAAAAAAAACCCTTCAGATATTTTAAATAATAGGCATAATGATAAAATTTGTTAGATTTTTTGGAAATCAGGGATATAGCCAATGGACAATATTCACAATAATAAAGAATAAAATATCAAAAGGATTTCACTTGTCATGACCAAATTTGAAGGAATATAACTTGGAACATTAAACTATAGATCCCATTCCATTGCCCCATGATGCCTGATCTCTTAACTCAATCTGCATTATGTCTTAAGAGATTGATGTATTCGTTTGTTACTGCGATTTTCAGAAAAAATTGCGTACAGTTGAATCACTTAACTTTGATACAAGAGGGCGATGAGTTCACGCAATCGAGAAGCGTTATGTACTTGGCAAGGTTGGGGACTTTTTGTATAAAATGTACTTGAGTTACATCTTACAAGATGGAAGTTGGAACATTAAATTATAATTGTTCCAGGAAAATAAATGGAAAATGTTTCCAAATGCCCCCAAACTGTGCCATGTCTACCCCGGACATGAAGACAAACTGTCATAAATTTTTAAAACTCTCCGTTAAATGTGGTCATATAATTTTGTGCAATTACCTGTATATAAATTGTAAAATAATGTCAAATAATTTAATGATGACCATGATTTTTAGTTTGTTGTTATATTGTAAATATTTGTTTTATTGCTTAACATTATTTTATTATTAAATATTGATTCCGATCTGGAAATATAAACAAAGAGAGTAGAAGCTCTGGTTAAATATTGTTACAATTATTGATAACATATTACTACAAATATTGATAAAATATTGTTACAATTATTGATAAAATATTACCACAGTTATTGATAACATATTGTTACAATTATTGGTAAAATATTACTACACTTATTGGTAAAATATTACTACACTTATTGATAAAATATTGTTACAATTGTTGATGAAATATTGTTACAATTGTTGATGAAAATTGTTACAATTGTTGATAAAATATTGTTACAATTGTTGATAAAATATTGTTAGAATTATTGATAAAATATTATTACAATTACTGTTAAAATGTTGTTACAATTATTGATAAAATGTTGTTACAATTATTGATAAAATGTTGTTACAATTATTGATAAAACATTGTTACAATTATAAAAGTGATTGATAAAATATTGTTACAGTTATCACCAAGAAGTTATTACAAGTATTGATAAAATATTATTGTAATTATTGATTTTAAAAATGTTGCAGCTGTTGCTGAAATATTCTTATAATTATAGTTTGTTTAATGGTATCACAGATTTTAAAACACCTTCATGATTCATTTATCAAATGTGTTATATAGTTTTCCATGAAAACATTGTTACAGTTGAAAATGAAACTTAGATAGTTTCCATGTTTAAAACATTGTCGGTGGGGGGCACCATCCTCCTGCTGATGTCACTGCTTGAGTAGTTTATTTGTTAGTTCACCCCACACTTAACTTACACTTAATATAAACTTGTAACATCCAAACAATTTCTGATTTCATGATTTTACAAAGTTTATATTCATGAGAAAGATTAAATTTAAGATTTTTATTTATTACTCAAACTTTTTTCATGTTATTTTAATTGAGAGTGAAAAACCAAAGGTTTCAAAACTGCCATAAGAACATATCAACAGAGCACTGAGTAGGCAATGCTAAAGAAAAGTAAACTGTAGTGATGTAGTTTATAGTTCAAATAAATAAATTGAAAGTAGGAGGAATAAATTGAAAGTAGAAAGTGGGATGAATAAATGGAAAGTAGGATGAATAAATTGAAATGGAAATCAATTGATACTAAAGAACTTGGATGTCAGTTCATGCTTACAGTTGAATTTATAACACAAATGTGAAATTCCCTTCATTGGGACTGGCCAACTCCTGAAAACAACCCTGGTCTCATACATTTATGTGTAAAATCATGTTTAAATCTTTGATCTTTTCTTGACAAGAGTAGATTCCAAATTTCAATCCTCAGTACCTTTTGGAGGAATAAACTGAAAAAGTGAAATTCCCTTTATTGGGGTATGTCAACTTAAGAAAACAATGGGTTTAATAAGAACAAACCTTGTCAGAAAACTGTCATTTGTTCTTTTTTTGAGCAAGGGCAATTTAAAATGTTCAATCTACAGCAGATCTTATGCAATTAAGCAAAATATTGTATTTTGAAAATAATGAATACATTAAAATATGTTTATATTTTTGAGCTACTTTCCGAAAATATAAAATTCACCACTGCTTAATCCACCTTATATGTACTCAGATTGATCATAATAAACATTCAATAAGGAAACAAAATCAAAATAACAACCCTAGATAATCTCCCGGCTTGGATTTAAAACAGGCCCATCAATGTGGTTCACGGCAAATAAAGATGGCGACCGTCTTGTTACACAGGAAGCAGCATAGATGGATGGATGGATGGATAGAATTTTGAATTCGTCATATCTTTGTAAATACTGACTGTAATTGATTCTATAGGGCTAAAATCAGTCTTCAAATATATATTATATATTTATATTTAAAGATCATAGTCATAACACGGTGATATAAAATTAAGCATTGATCAATTAATGTTTTATTATTAAAATGTGATATGAATGTAAATAGATAAATTTTAATTTCATTGTCAATATGTAAATAATTAACAACTTTAGTCAGACATATTCTATTCAAATAAAAAAAATAAAAATTACAAAAAAACTTGCCATGTTCCTTGTACTGCACTACCGAAAAATGGAAACCACGCTGGAAAACATGGTTTAATTTTATTTCAATAATTCGCTCAGAGAAAACCCTCCAGGTTTGGACAGGCGACCCCACTGCTTGTCGTGTACAAACGGGGAATCGAAACCACGCCACTTGACTGAATGACACCATATGATTTCACACGCATGCGTTAAACCACTAGATCACCCAACTCCGCTGACACTGAAAAGCTGTTTTTCGTTTGGTATATAATTATGCCTACCTCGTTGGTTTTCTCTGGGTCTTTCGGTTTCCTCTCTACGCGCAAGCAAATTATTGAAATAAAATCGAACCATGTTAGTCCCGCAATGACCTGGTTTGTGTCGAGTGAACGTTAAACCCCATCTCTCTCTCTCTCTCTCTCTCTTGGTATATAATTATGGTTTTATCCAAATACAGGGCCTCAAATCAGATTTCAACATAAGAAAACCAGTGAAGAAGTAGTTAGATCGTATATTGAGTAGAACAAAAATTATCCAAGTCAGAAAAAAATAAAGATCTAAATGAAATGTAACGAGCATTTAATTTTGCCCGGACAGCTGCACTACGGCCTACTGTTACATCGAATTCCTACTAAGGGTTCTTTGTTTTCACAACATATCTTAGAAACCATTCAAGATGTTCTACATTTATACCTACATCACCCATAGCCTTTTGATATATTGAGAGAGAGAGAGAGAGAGAGAGAGAGAGAAATGGGGTTTAACGTCCACTCGACACAAACTAGGTCATTTCGGGACTAACACATGGTTCAATTTTATTTCAAAAATTCGCTTACGCGTATTGGTCTTTAGCAGTGGGAGGAAACCGGGGGACCCGGAGAAAACCCACGAGGTTGAACAGGCGACCCTACTCCTTGTTACGTTCAACCGGGGAATTGAAACCCGGCCAGTTGGCTCAATGACAGACCGTATGATACAGCGCGTGCGTGCTAACCATTCGGCCATCCACCCCTTGATATATTGACAATGTATTATGAAAATAAAACGAATGATAGTTTATAACTGGGTAAAGTAGAGCAGTGAATGGTATTACGATCACGTTTTAATGTGGAAGTTACAGATGTTTTGAAACTTGGATTGCATTTGAAAGGAAAATTTAAGACATAATGTGGGTGGCGATGTGTACAGATTGAAATAATTGCTGCAACCTTTCCAGAAGAACGTCATATTATTGAAGCAACGACCGCGAGTTTTACAACATCCTAGTTTGGTCTGCAATTCTCGAACTTATAGTTACATTATCTCTCTTTGTGACACAAACACACTCAAATCAAACATGGCGACTCGGGTATCACAGGTAGACATTTTAGCTGGGAAGTGCGTAACTTGGTATTCGCAATGATCGAGGAATCTGATAGCCCCCCCCCCCCAGCTGGATCAGTAGCCAATCGAAATTAGAGTCGAAATATGTCGAAAGATTAAGCTTCAGCGACCCACACCCGGATGTGTCCCTAGAAGCGGCTTTTGTAATATTTACACATACATTATGCAAGACAGGGGCGGATCTAGGAATTTTGAAAAGGGGGGGGGGCGCCCCTCGCGCCCCCCATTGAATCCGCCTCTGCAAGAGCTAAATCTGCCCATTGCAGGCCTTTCCTTAGGCCTGAAATATTATCTAAATTATTAATTAGACATTAATTAACTTATCAAGACCATAATCAACTATCGATGCCATCGGTAATCTGAGATATTTACTGGATTTGAATCCAATTTGCTTTTCAACGGACATTCATGATTTAATCCATAAATGGATAATTGAGACTATGTTTTTATCGTACCGACTTCAGTAGTTATGATCGCGGTTGGGCCTAAAATTTAAAAGCTAATATCTTGGTTCAGAGTGGATTAATTTGACAGATATATTCAGCAAATTCCCTTTACATTATCTAGATTTTAAGTAGTATATCTCTATTCGTACGAAGCCGATTACATACAGACGCTCGTAAAAACTGATAAACGATCAGTCAGACTTTTTAATTTCACTTATCGATATATCGATGACGTTTTATCACTTAATAATCCTAAATTTAGTGATTATGTAGAATTCATATATCCTGATGAGCTCGAAATTAAAAACACCACTAACAGTGACAAATACGCTTCCTACTTGGATCTGCGTCTCGATTTTGACAATTGCCATAAACTGAGTGTTAAATTGTACGATAAACGTGATGACTTTGACTTTCCGATTGTTAACTTTCCATTTATTAGTAGGAACATTCCAATATCACTAGCTTATGGAGTGTTTGTGTCTCAGCTAATTCGTTACGCGAGAGCTTGTTCCTTTTATTCTGATTTTTTAAGTAGATCGAGGCATTTGTCATCTAAGCTTCAACTACAAGGATACTTGCGCACTAAACTTATTAAAACCTTTAAAAAGTTTTATGGCCGTCATATTGATTTGATTGGTAAATATAACGTGTCTCTCTCGGCTATTATTCTAGATATATTTAATTGACACGTATACTATTACTATCTCCCTGATAATATCTACTACATCGTTAACACAGTTCATCGCGTGCATTTTGCATACCGATAGTTCATTGGCCAATCACGCTATTTTACCGACATTTCGTCTAATAGTTTGGATGCAGCTATGGCGGGTGTGGCGCCAGGCAGGGTAAGCTTACTCTTCCGGACACCTGTTACCACTGTTTGTCGTGTTATTTGTACACGAGGAGCAGTCCATTTGCTGATTACACTATTTTGCTTGAATACACTATTTTGCCTATAACGTTTTTTAGGACTTCGAATTCTGTCTTATGGTTTGGATTGTTCGTACTTGGTTTTATTTTATTGAGAACTGTCAGCTCGTTATCTAATCTCCCATAATAACCCTTTAAGTCTACTGTCGTGATGGGATCATTACTATACAGAATAGGAAAGTTAAGGGGTATAGCTACCGTGCTATAGCTTGGGTGTCCTGGTAATATTGCAGGTAGAACCAGACCAGAATTTAGAAATCAAGTTCCAGTCAAATCTGACGAGTGTAGGGTTTTGTATTAACTTCTTGTTTTCTTCTGTCATGAAATAACTCCAGGGAAGAAGATGACAGTGGTTACCCAGACCTGGTTGGTGGTTGAAAGGGACTCCCATAACAGTTCAAGCTTCAGGATTCAAAAATATAGCTCCTC